TATCCAGGATACGGTTGGTTCCTTTGTTTAGATCGCTACTGGAAGTCCGTCAAACCACTAGTACTTTATCGCTTACAGCCAATTGCCATGTCATATAAGTCTAGAACCAAAAAGCCATATCAGATTGGCAGCAAGAACTACAAACAAATTTTAACACGACACAGGCCTCAATCGAATAATTTACAAGATACCCAGCCCATCAAGTCGTCAAGGAGAAAACAGAACATGGTTGGCAAGAATAATAAAGAAAACCCATCAACGCCGCGACAATGACGCCCTCCTGTCCCAAGACTCGGTACTTTTAAACCTTCTTCTTCTTTTTGGACGGCTCAGCATCGCTGTCGTGCTTCCGCTTCTTCTTCTCGGACTCGCCCTCGCCAACGTCAGACTTGCGCTTCTTCTTCTTCTCCTCCTTCTCGCCCTTCTCCTTCTTCTCCTTCTTTTCCTTCTTGTCCTTCTTTTCCTTCTTCTCCTTCTTGTCCTTCTTCTCGGCCTTCTCATCAGCGTCCTGCATCTCGGCATCGCTCTCAGCGCCGTCAATGTCCATATCAGCAAGGACAGCATCCATGGCGTTTTTCTGTAAAAACCATCAGTAAACTTGTTACGAAAAATAGGGAGATTTGGTTCACTAGGGTAATAGCAAACACACTAGCTGTATTGACTTACCATGGCGACCTCGTTCTTGGTAGGGGCAGCACCAGTGGCGTAGAAGTCCAGACGCTCCTCAACCTGCTTCTTAAGGGCCTCACCGAACTTGGTGGAGGGCTCCTCGGAGAAGTTGTCAATTCTGGAGGCGATGGAGCACTTGTTGGCAAGGAAACGCGAGATGCGACCCTTGTTCTTGGGGCCAGCTCTTCCAATGAAAGAGGAGTGGTACAGAAGACCGTACTTGGGGGTGTTACCCTTGGTCTTCAAGGCTCTGAAGAGGGCCTTCTCAGCACCGAGAATCTGGACCGTAGAAGCGGGGTACTTGGACAGGTTGGTCAAGCTACCGGCGTGGGAGATCAAACGAGCACCAACGATCTCACCAATAAGGGCAGCAAGGTTGGGGGCGACAACGCTCATCTTGGAAATCAGGTACTGGTGGAGAGACTTGCGGTACTTGGACAGGCTGACAACGCGCTGGGCGAAAGAGATAACGTTCTCCATGTCGGTCTCGGAAATCTCCTGACCCATGCTGTGCTTAGCAGCGTCGATGATGCTCTGGGCGACACCCTCATCGTCCTCCACAAGGGCAGCAATGTCGTGCAACTTCTCGTCGTTCAAGCTCTTCTTGTCCTGAACGAACAAGGCAATCTGGGCGTAGCGCTGGTTGTCGGAGACGATCTTGTAGAGTTCGGGGAAGTGCCAGGAGTACCATTCCCTGACTCTCATGGAGAAAGTGTTGATGGCCTTGTCGAGCTGGTCGAGGATAGCAATGGCCTGGATGATGTGGTTGTCATCGCGCTGAACGGAGAACTTAACCTTGGCGCGAGAGTAAGCGTGACCAAGACCAAGCTGGGCGGTGTCCATATCACCCTCACGCAGCTGCTTCAGCAGCTTGGTGGCGTGCAGTCTGACACCACGAAGCATATCCTGGACGACCTCGCTGGTGTCTCCAGTCTCGCAGTCAACGAAAGAGAAGGCAGACTTGATACTTCCAGCCAAGGCCTTGTCGGCCAGACCCAGAACAACCTTCTTCTTCTTGTTGGGCTTGGGCAAGTTCAATTCGAGGAAAGAGATCAGAGTGTCCGAAGCGACACCCTCGGAGACATCGTTGATTTCACTGAGGGCCTGCTTGTTGTTCCTGGAAGTTGTCAGAATCCTGCGGGAAAGTGCCCCTATGGGAAAAATTGAACCACATACTCGAAAGGCAGGAAACTGGACAGTTCGACCATTTTACCGAAACTGGCCAAGTCGTTAACACCTTCTTGAACCTCCTTCAAGCGGTTTCCCACGCTGTCACCCTGGTGGGCGACCTTGAAAAGCGAGTAGCCCATGGGGCCCTCGAACAGAAGGAAGTCGGCCATTGCGAAATTGAGGGAAGGGCCCTAAAAATTAGACAAAACGGTCCTTTACGTGCGACTTATCGTGGTCGCGTCTCAATTTCCCGGGGTTATGCGACCGTAGACCTGCCGTGGACCGACGTGGAGTTGAAGAAAAGCCTGGGAGGGTAGATTTGCAGAGTCGAGCCGTCGGAGCTCTTTTTTTTCGCGGCGGCGCTAGTGCGAACATCGAATGTGGGCTTTTTGCCAAAACTACAGCTCACCGCATTCGACGGCAAACACCACCAGGTTTGTGGCCGCGCGGGCATCGTCTTAGGGGCCCTACAGCACCAGCCAGCCTTATCTTTTTCTCCGGATTTCTTTCGTTGGGTTTTTGTTGCTTGTCGCTCTTTCGTGCTGCAGAAAATGTCTGCAACGCAGTTACTCAATCCCAAGGCCGAGTCGAGGGTATGCATGCAGTTATCCTTCTTCCCTTTACCCCCCCGAAACATTAGCCCCTCAGTGGTCCAGCAGAGACTAACAGTTCGCAGCGGAGAGCGGAGGCCTTGAAGGTCAACATCAGCGCCGGTGAGGGTCTTCAGGATGTCTTGAAGTCCAACTTGGGTCCCTCGGGTACTCTGAAGATGTATGTTCCAATTTATGATGGTAATAGACAGATGCAGAGCTGACTGATCATAGGTTGGTGGATGGTGCAGGCGGAGTATGAGATATTCCCTCGAGTCCGGCAATTCGGCATTTTCATTAACAATGTTGCGAACAGATCAAGTTGACTAAAGATGGAAATGTTCTGCTGCGTGAGATGGTGAGTGGTATCTACAATCAGGAATTATAAACTCTCATGCTAACCGGTGCAGCAAATCCAAAACCCCACGGCTGTGAGCTAGACCTCCCTCCTCCTCCCCCAAACGCAATTATTAATACAGGCAAAAGGTTATGATTGCCCGGGCTGCAACGGCACAGGATGATATTACCGGTGATGGAACGACATCTGTCGTCCTGTTGGTGGGTGAGCTTCTGAAGCAGGCAAATCGTCACATCTCCGAGGGTCTGCACCCTCGTGTTATCACGGATGGTTATGAAATTGCGAAGAATGAGTCTCTGAAGGTCAGTACATCGGAATCTAAGATGGTGGGTCATCTACAATACTAAGCTATGGTGGTATATAGTTCCTCGAGCAATTCAAGCTTGAACGGACAGTTGACCGTGAACTCCTCCTTTCCGTTGCGCGGACGTCGCTCAGCACGAAGTTGAACAGCGCTCTGGCCGAGAAGCTTACGCCTGATATCGTCGACGCCGTCCTTGCCATCCACAGAGCTCCCGAGAAGCCCGATCTACACATGATTGAGATCATGACCATGCAACATCGCACGTCCTCTGACACCAGACTCATCCGTGGTCTTGCTCTTGACCACGGTGCCAGACACCCCGACATGCCCAAGCGTGTGGAGAACGCGTTCATCCTGACCCTGAACGTGAGTCTGGAGTACGAGAAGTCTGAAATCAACTCTGGCTTCTACTACTCTTCTGCCGAACAGAGGGATAAGTTGGTGGAGAGTGAACGCAAGTTCGTCGATGCTAAGCTGAAGAAGATCGTGGAGCTCAAGCAACAAGTCTGCGGCACCGACCCCAACAAGAGCTTCGTTGTCATTAACCAGAAGGGTATTGACCCTCTGAGCTTGGATGTCCTTGTCAAGAACGGCATTCTCGCTCTCCGGAGAGCTAAGCGGAGGAACATGGAGCGTCTTCAACTTATCTGCGGTGGTACTGCACAGAACAGTGTTGAGGATTTGACGCCTGACGTCCTTGGATGGGCTGGCTTGGTCTACGAGCACCAGCTCGGCGAGGAGAAGTTCACTTTCGTTGAGGAAGTCAAGGACCCCAAGTCCGTCACTATCCTCATCAAGGGACCCAACCAGCACACCATCGCACAGGTGAAGGATGCTGTTCGCGACGGTCTGCGGTCCGTCTACAACACCATCGTCGACAACTGTGTCATCCCCGGTGCTGGTAGCTTCCAGGTGGCCTGCGCCGCACACCTCACTTCCGAGGCCTTCCGCAAGACTGTCAAGGGCAAGGCCAAGTGGGGTGTTCAGGCTTTCGCCGACGCCCTTCTCATCATCCCCAAGACCCTTGCTGCCAACTCTGGCCATGATGTCCAGGACTCATTGGCGGCTCTGCAAGACGAGCAGTCGAACGGCAACACCGTCGGTCTGGACCTGACCACTGGTGAGCCGATGGACCCCATCCAGGAAGGTGTCTTCGACTCTTTCCGTGTGCTACGTAACTGCGTCGCGTCAAGCACGGGTATTGCCTCGAACCTCCTGCTCTGCGATGAGCTGCTCAAGGCCAGACAAATGGGCCGACAGGGAGGACCTGGCGGTATGGATGAGTAATGTGATGGCTACGTCTAAGGCGAGTTATTGTAAAGCGAGAACATCAGGTTCTTCCATATTCGGAATACCGGTATAGAAAAATATCCTACGTCGAAAATTGTACTTCACATACTTACGTATCCTAATCGATTTTAATCCACGAGGGAATTAATCGTGTTTCAAACCCGCTAGCATGTAATGTTGCCTCGTTCATGGCTGCCTAAGGGACGGTGAGTGCTTCGACTTGATCCGTTGAAAGTCAAAATGTAGGCAGCGAGATAAGTACCATGCTCATAGCACATGCAAAGTACTATTGTCGCTTGGCTGTAATTACTAGTGAATAAGAAGTGAGCGAGTTGCGTAACTTGCAGAGCTAACTCGCAATAGGTGGAGTTACTCTTCCGTTACAAGGTAGCATCCTAGAATGTGATGTTGTTTCAGAGAGCTTACATTGCATCCTACTATTTCCATGAGACTAGTCCGTCAGTATATACTAGTATTGCTAGGTATTCATTAATGATATGATGCTCCATACGGTCAGTAGCGTAAGTAGAGGCAAATGATAATACATGACACGCTGTTTCCACATCAGGAAACATGGCGGTAGAACGTAACGATAGGCTCAAAGATAGGCAGGAAGCTCCTATCCAGCATCTTCGTCAACCTCATCACTGTCGACCTCACTCTCTTCAGTGGAATCAGCCGGGGCCCATTTCCCCAGAAAACCTTCATCTCTAACAGGGTCTTGGAGCGCCATATGATGTGACTTGGCCCACTCAAGAATCTTAGACTTCCGAATCAACAAGGGCTCCTCTGTGCCCGATCCAGCCTCGCCAGATGAATCCTTTGTCCGGCGCTTTTTAGCAGGCGTCGCAGGCTCCACGGCCCCCAGGCCTTGAAGAGCGGTGACAACATCCTCAGGCAACATCCCCGTCGCCAGACCAATGTCCTGCACTGTCATGAGCTCGTGGGTATGTTTTCGCTTGGACGTCTTCGGAGACTTCTGCTTCAGTGGCACGGAGGAGCCCGACGGCGCCTCTGCTTCCTTCGGGTTGCCGCCCCGTAACAATAGATACCTGGCTATTCGTTCCTGCCAGAACCGAGTATAACTCCTATGACCCATCTCACTGAGCGGCCGTTCCGGACCGCCTATGAGACCACTATCACTCTCCCAGGAACTGATCTTGTAACTCACGCCCATCAACAGCTTTCCAAGCTGCTTATGCTGGTAGGGCGGGAAGACGAGGATGCATGCGAGATTGTTCGCATCCCAGGAGAGTTTCTCTTTCGAGAAGAACCCCAAGACGTAGTAATTCTCGGGGTCATTGGGATCGGTGAAGACGAGGAGGTAGTAGAGGAAGGAGACGACATCGTAAAAGACGGACTTGTGATCGAGGAAGAGTTTGGCGAACAAGGAAAGGTTTTGCGCGTAGAGCTTGTGACATTCACCGTCTAGCTCCCACACGGAGTATCCGCCATGATCGTAGACTTTCGTTCCGGGAGGTGTTGTCCGGTGTTGGCAGAGTCGCGTATGTTGCGCGTAGGCGTGGACGTCGCACGAGTACCGGAAGCACCAACGACAGACGTACAACCGGTCTGTGTCTTTACTGACGAGATCTTCCGGATAGATGGACTGATACCATGTTGGGAAAAGGAGGTCACCCAGTACGACGTGCTTGACGTTACGGTCGGTGGAGGATGGTTCGGTGCGCGACACAGGGTCACTGGGAGCCATTGGAGACACGGGGGAGGGAAGGGGAAACGATCAGGACTAGTAGTAGCTAGGAACGAATGGCGTCAATTCGGCGGCTTATTTCTTCTTCCTTCCCCCTTAATGATGAATTGATGGTAATCGGGGAGCGGACGCGTTTCTGTGGAGATGCCAGCCATCTGTGACGGCGGTTTGTAGTAGGTCCTGGACACTTTTTTTTTTACCCTTTCCTCCCTTACGCTGGTTGCTTTGGATAGGCCGGGCGGGAGGGATTAGCCTAAAAGAGTCCGGAAAGGCAGTACAGCTTACTTGCATATTTTCTGCTTACTATGGAGAGAAAGAAGAAACCCGGAAGGGAAAGGCGGAGGGATTATATTGGGGGAATTGGATACAATCAATTTGTTTAGCTGTTTAGCTAGTATATGATACGCTCAAGCTTTCTTTTCCCACTCACTCTGCAGGGACACTTGCTGCAGTCGTCACTAGATTAGATTTTGGTATAGAGGATACGTAGGACCTCCATCCACCTGCGGATTCCTTCCCGTCAAATGAAACCAGTCAGACCAGTTGGACCGGGTCAGTTGATCTCCGTCACCATCCAATCATATTACCGCCGCGCGGGGAGAAAGACAAGCTTGACTGCAACTAGTTTCGTTGCTGAGAGAGTCTTAGAGAGTCTTGGAGTTCTTGGGATGTTGGAGAGGATCCAGACTAACTAACTAACTAGTCTTCTCATCGTCTCTTATTGACGGATTACTTTACTTTCCAAAGTACTTTGGCTGACTAGTAGATCTCTCCTCATCCGCAACTTCATTCCTTCATATCACGTCAAACATCTCCTTCAATATCCGGTTGCCTGGACCCCTAACCTTTTCCTGTGCCTTCCCTTCCCGTTACACTGCAGCTGACCTTCGTATGACGATGGTCGGCTTCCTCTTGCGGAATCTTGTTGTCTGAACTGAGGCGAAAAGACGATCCAACGCCGAAACTAAAGCTGTTGTTCCCATAGGCAGCAGCAATAGTGACGACGACCGCCGCCTGCCAGCCTTTGTTCCCCCCCCTCCCTCCCTCCTTATCGCCGCTCCCCCCGGGGTTCAGACAGACCCTTATCCTACGGCCTAGATTCCTGTCAAGCTTGATCCCTTTTCTCTCTTGCTGATCGCCAGCCAGCTTACTGTTCCTTTCTGGTGTATCTGAATCCTTTAACTGGCTACTTTCTTCACCAGCATCGCCTGCGTGCTGCGTGGTTCATCATTCATCGTCTTCTCTTGGCTTCATAACGGTCTGGGAGCGGAACTTTGCTCTTCCGCGACCGTTGTGTTTTATCGCCGAAGATGTTGAAACCGTTCCAGATCAGAGATCTTCATGGATCTCCATCACATACATCTGCAGAGGTGCCCTCGGCATCCACTCAACCCTTGACAAGGAAACCATCACCACCCAGAGCTCGTCGGGGAATCGTGCAGCTGTCTGCTCCCCAATATGATGATCTTGCATCGAATCACCCGCGGGCACGGTTGACTTATGTTGATGACGATGATGGGGAGATCATCACTGTATGTCTTATCGCATATCCTGCGTCGTTTTGGTACTAATCCGTCTTTACAGGTTGGATCGTCTCTCGAACTCTCCCAACGCCTCGATGAGCCTGTTGACCTTGCGCACGACCCGATGCCGCAGGAAGCCACCGAACCCATGCACCTCTTCGATATTCGACGCTCGAACTCAATAACCGAATTGTGGAAGAAGTTCCAGATAAAGCAAGACGGCAAGGATGCGGACAACCGCGCTGGATCATCAACCGTGGACGCCCCGGCTGCTAGCACTTCAGCAGAAGTACGGTCAGGTACTGAGCAAGAGAACGTTGAAGCTACGAAGATCGACGACACAGCATCACTCATGGCCGCCTTTGAGGCTGAGATGGCCAAGATTCTCGATGCTTCTAGGAATATACAAGAAAATAACACTTCGGAAGGACCTTCAGCTCCCGCTCAGGAGCCAGCGGGAACCCCAAGGAGCAGGACTCCAAATCCCACGGATGCATTTACTTATGCAATGCGGAACCTGCTCAACGGGGCTGAGTTGCTCAGTTCTGGGGTGAGATCAAGTATACCCGAGATTGAACGGCAGCTGGAGAACGCTCAGAGGGCCCTTCCTGGAAATGTTGGGTCCTCGGTACAAGGTGCTCTTGCGAGTTTGGAAGCCCAGATGAGACAGCTTACCGGCTCTATCAACCATACCGTTGGTGGTGCGTCGACAGGGAACATTCTCCAGGGAGAACTCCCTACAGCCGCCGGCACTGTGGACAGTCTGCGTGCAATGGCGTCGGAACTTGGAAATGTAGGGCATACTCTGTTCGAAGCGTTTGAGTCGGAGTTTGGCTGCACTCGAACGGGTGGTCAACCCCAGGCTTCCTCTGAACAACGTCCAGATGGCCTCCGTCCCGACCAGGCTGAACCCTCCAGACCATCTGATGCCACTGCAGTTAATAGTGTTGTCCCCGATGTGGTAGACCAGCCAACCCAGGATCGGGATCTGGGAAGCCGCGAGACAAAATCCGGAGAGAAAGAGTTGGAACCAGAAGCAGACCTTAAAACTGGCTCCAAGAAAGCTGCAGAGGCGGATGGACCGACTCAACCAGGCGGCCCTAACCAGGCGCAGCCAGATGCACCTTCATACGTGCCTCACGGACGCCACGGCCATTTTGCTTTCACACCCTACTTTCAACCACCACCGCCCCCTCCTCCACCGCATCCTCATCCCCATCACCATTATCCGCCTCCGCCTCCGCCTCCTCCTTTCTTCGGTCCACCTCCCCATCTTTTTCACCAGCCCTTCCCAGGTCCACCGCCGCCTCCTTTCTGGCCGACACCCGAGAATTTTAATCATCCTCACTTCCCTGCTGGGCCTGAGGTTCCTCGTCCACAACCCACGAGTACTCATGCACATCCCTCTCAACACACGCACCGACGTTGGCATCCACACACATACAACTGTCGCCGTGGCCGCGCTCCCATTAGTCGCCAACATGCTCATGAACAAGATCGTGGTGTAACCAACGATGTACCATCTTCTAGCCACAATGCTACGCCGACAGAGACACAAAGCTCCACTAACACATCATTGTTCGTCGGCAATGTGGGCTTCAATGTTAGCGAGAAGATGATCCGCGACGTCTTTGCCTCCCGGGGTTTTCTCGTAGATGTACATCTGCCTCTTGATGTTGGGACCGAGAAGCACGCTGGATTTGGCTACCTATCCTTCCCATCTGTCCCTGCGGCAAAGGCGGCCCTGGAGGCCTTGCAGGGGACGCATATTGATGGGCATGCAATTAACCTGGAATTCAGTGAGCAGACCCCGGTCACCAGGCTGCACCCTGAGGAACCTTTTCCTCAAGCAACTTCAGACGGTCCAATGCCTGCTGTTAGTGAGCGCAAGTCCATCCCTTCTGAGCTTCAAGGATCTACAGCTACGCCCGCCAAGTTGAAGACATCACTTAGTAATCAAGATGATTTCAAATCGCTCAGCGGTAAACGTGCCGTCCCTTTGACCGTGGCGGACTTGTGTTCCAATGATAATCGCAATCCGGGCAACACAGCGTCTCCCAATAGTCTGGAAGACTCGTCCTTGGGGGATTCCACGCGGCTCAATTCACTTTACCCGTCCCTCTTGCCTGAAGGTGTCCCCAAGTCGGGGCCTTCTGAGCCCGTGAGTCCTGAATTTGATCGGATCCCCGAGCTTACGCGTGAATTGGAAGAGTGCCGCTTTCCCCCGGTCTCACAGCTCGAAGCGCACTTTTTGGCTGAGCAGCAGAAGGAAGCGGCTTCATCCAGCGCACAGACGAGGTGTGACGGTAAAGCACCGGAAGCCAGACACTTGAACGGCAATGCGGCGCTGCAGGGGCTTCCCGGCACGTTTCCGCAGGAGGTCCGTGAGAATTCGTCGGCACAGCCTGGACAGTTCTCAGAGACCCGTAATCTGCATGGTGTGCATGACCATGAGGAATCATCTTTTGGCCCTCGCCGCCATGTTAGACGTTGGAAGAGCCAGCGACCCCGCTCTGCTTGGCAAGATGAATTCTCGGGGTGGGACGCCCCTCGCGGCATATTCGGCTGGAGACCGGAAGGACGTCATCGTCACCGCGGCGGACGTCGGAACAGTTTTGAAACCCCTTCTTCCGAGACTCAGGCAATCAATCCTGATGTCAGGCAACGCGACATTGACGACTGCGTCTCTACCTTGGTGAGTTTGGGATATGGCGGTGCAAGCGATGGTGGCCATCAACGAATCGCGATTTATGCTGCGGCCGCAGACGGCAGGGTATCAGATGCGATTGAAATGATTGAGGAAGAACGCAAGGCATACGAACAACAGGGATCGACGATGTGACGACCAACTTGGTAATAATACTTCTTTTCTTACAACTTGATATGACCCAGACTCGTTGGGATCCAAGTAGCTGTGGACTTTACGGTCTGTTCTGAGACTGATACTGCTGGAATGCGTGTGCTTTGGGCGGATTACGCTACATATTCCCTACTCCATCGCTAAATCAGAAAAGTGACAATATTTAATCGTATATGGCTTAATTTAGAGCTGCTCGTAGCTGTCCGTCGCACGTAACAACGAAGAGATCCAGCGATAAGTGAGCGGCTTATCGCGTGCGGCTTGCGGAGCTGAATCATCGATCGGCCCGGCGCACTTCTTCCACGCCGATGCACACCCGCGATACTTTCGCCAATCTATCTTTCTGGCCCGCGCGATTTCTCCCATTGATTCGAAGAGATGCTGACATGGCGGCGGACGTTCGCCACATCGGTTGCGCGACTGAACAATAGGCCAGCAGCAAGGAGCGCCGGCTCCACGCTTCTTCGCTGCGCCCAGGTCCTCGAGCAGAGTCAGAAGGGATCTAGTCTGGAGGACCAGGAGATCCAATTGAACGGGTTCATTCGATCAGTTCGCAAGCAGAAGCGTTTCGCTTTTGCTGAGATCTCCGATGGATCGACAGTCAAGCCTTTGCAGGC